TTGTGATCTTCTAGTTCTCTATATATTGTATTCTCTTTTTTGTTTTATAATTTAAGTTTGCTGTGCCTTAGGTGAATAGGAAAGAGTAATGTTTTGATAAAATTCATATATATTATATCTAATACTAGTTTTATTTATTATATTTTTTACGACCTATGGGTCAATAGCATAGTAATAGTACTCCTAGTTTGCAATCGCAAAGTCTATGGTTCAATACTATTTAAGGATTAAAAATCAAAATTACCTTTCTAATCAGGTTTATCAGTTATTCTATAAAAGTCATATTCAATTAACCAAACAAACTTTAATCAGGTTAGGCTGCATGAACATAAGACTTCTAGCCTTTTGTTAATCAGGAGCTGAGATCTATAGTCATATTATTAAAAAGATTGTATGAAGAAAGGCTTCTAGTTCCACTTATTATGAATATTTTAAAACCTTTAGCCTAATAGTCTCCAGAACTCTATCTTTTTAATTCAAGATATTTCAATATAGTGTTTACTTAAATAAAAATCAATCAAATAGGATTGATTTAATGATACAGGTAATAACAAAGAAAGTAAAGTGCTCCTTTCGAGATTAGGGCAAATAATATTTGGGAATATTGGAGAATAAAATCAAATTCTATTAAGTACATACTATACAGATTAGTTTAATGAATATAATATAAAAATTTATAAAAGCTCAATACTAAATTAACCTGTTTCACCATCAATAACTGTGTATTAACCATTCAGCCCCTAGCTGGGTCTACCTTATTTATAGAATAGTAGTAGGTTCATTTAGAAAAAACTACAATAGGTTATCATTAATCTGCATATATATAGAAATATATAATTTATATTAGATGATTGATATTATACCTAGGATTTCAATATTCATGATGTTAAGTTAACTCTTAATAAAAGTACTTACATCTAATACCAGTTATAATTTAAAAAAAAAATTTTTTTTATTATATTTTGTTCAAATAATTTTATATATAATTTTAAAATTTTTGTTATTTTAAAAAATTTCTTTCTTTATCAAATTTTTAATTTTGAAAAATTTTGATTGGTTATTATTGTAAATTATATAATAATTAATAAAAAAATAAAGATATTTAATTTTTTTTTAACTTACAATAATGTTATAATAGTTTGTCTTTATTGAGAAATTAAACAAAATCTACAATAGTTTATAGACTTTTATAAAGTGACTAACTCGTCTTCATATATAAGTACTTTAAATCAGATTTTTGAGAACAATATTATACTCTTTCAATTGATTGATAATAATCTTTATCTATCAGAATTATTGCCAATAGTTTGTCACAGTTGATTAATTTAAAAATTAATAAATTGCTAAGTTAAAAAGAAAAAGAGTACAATTCAAGATTCACTAAAAAAATCTAAAAATAAAAATAATCTTTTCTCAAAAGGGATCTGTCTTATTAGAATAGTCTTCTTGTTTTACTTGAACCTTAGATGAAATCTTCTTTTTTATTACTTGTAGTATTGAATAAATCAATTCAACTAATCCTTTATTTAAGTGAGTACTGAATTAAATATATCAAGAAAAGCATTTAGACCTCAGTTTTTTTCATTAAAACTTTGTCACCATTTGAGTGATTTATGTAAGATATAGAAGTTTGCAATTCACATTATTCATCATATGGTCTTTTAGTATCATAAAAGTCTTTATTAAGGAATTTGAGCTTTTTAAAAATAAATATTTTTGAAACATTTTCTTTAATCACTAATAATATTATTAAAACATATAAATATAATCAATAGGAGCTTATTTACATTCCAAAAACTAACATGGTTTATATCAGCCAATTACCTTTGGTAAGAATTTGTACTATCAAAATTTATATAAACAAAATTTCTTAGAAAACTATGAAAATAGAAGCTTTAAAAGGGCTAAAATAATTTAAAAAGAAGAAAGTAAATCTTTAAACTGCAACAAAACCTCTTTAACTTATCACTTTAAAAGTTAGAAGAGCCTTTAAGTATTTTATAGTCGGTTTTTCTTTCTTTGGAAACTTTTTTTCTATTGGTATCAAAGATATTACTTGATTTTTTTTGGCTATTGAAAGGTAAGTTTTTTGATAAAGAGACTTATAAACAATAAAAAAAAGATAGAGATGATTCTTGAAGTCAAACTTCAAGTTGTTTTATGCAAAGTATTAAGAGTTTATTAGCAAAGAAGTGAAAAAACTACTTAAAAATATCTTTTTTATGTATGGTTAAGGATTAGTGTAAAGACTATTAGTTATAAAAATAAAGATATTTAATAATAATAAAACTTTAGAATATATTGATAAACAATTTTTTAAAAAATATAAGTAATAGAAAAAGTATTAATATATAAAATATATAAATTTTATCATTTTTTATTGTTTAATTAACGATAAAAAATTATTAAAGTTCTAATTTATAATAAAAACATAGTAAACCGACTCACATTTTTGAAAGCAATTGTATATTATATATTTATATTTATTTTATTTTTTAAATTTTTTTAAAAATTTTTTTATTAATATATTTTAAAATTTTATTATTTATTTTTATATAATTTATAATAACAGTTAATCAAAATTTTTTAAAAGTAAAAATTAAAAAAAAATTTTTTTAATAAAAACAAAACTTTAAAAATTATACAGTATATAAAATTTTTTTGAAAAAATATAATAAATAAAACCAGTATTAAAATATCCTATATATAAATTTATAATTTTTGATTGTATAATTAAGAATTTAAAAATTGCTATAATTGAAATTTATAATAAAAATATAGTAAGTGAACTCAAACTTTTGAAAGCAACTATATATAAATAAAAAGTATAAATAAAATCTTTTATTTTAAGAACTTAAAGTAATAAGATTTTTAAAATTATATAATTTTAATAATTAATAAATATGTTTTTTAAATAATTTGAAGTTAAGAAATATTTTAATTGAAAAAATTTCTTTTAAAAAAATTGTTTATTTAAATAAAAACTTTTTAGAAAGATTTTAAATTATCTTTTTCTATTTTTTTAGTATATTTATTTAATAATTTATTATTTCTCAAAATAATTTACAATATTAAATTGTAAGTAATTATTTTATAAATAAAATTTCAAATATCAATTTATTAGAAATTTAAAATATTGTTTCTTAAATCTGATTTAAAGTATTTAATTGAAACTTTGTTTTATTTAGTTTGAATTATTTTAATAAGCTTTTTATATTTTTTAAATTAATAATATGCAATGATAAGTTAATTATCATATAAAAATCCCTACAATATTGTAAATATTTGTTTAATATCTCAATAAAGATATTATAATATATAATTGTAAATTCAAAAAAAAATTATTTCAAAAGCTTATTATATATTATACTTATTTCATTAAAATAAATTAGGTTTAAATTATTAAAAAACATCTTTCTTTTGATCAGTTTTCTTTGATTATTTTATAAAAGTTGTACCCAATCATTCAAAACAAGATTAAAATCAAGTTAGGTTTACAGTTGTACTACCAAAAGAATTACATGAAGAAAGACTTCTGATCCAATCTCCAATAAACATCCCAAGATCCCTACTCTTCTAACTTAGGATATTCCAATCTGATACTCCACTTAAATAAAAAATCAGTTGATAGGAACTAATCTGATACTACAGGTAGTGACAAAGAAGATAATATGCCCCCTTCCAAGGTCTGAGTGAATAATATCTGAAAATATTGGAAGGTGCTATGTATTCTGTCAGGTACATACAAGAAAGAACTAGCTTAGTAAAATAATAAAAAAATAATTTGTAAGCTCTATATTAACTAGCTTAACCTTGCCATTGATGACTGAGTATTAACCATCCAACCCCTAGTTAGGTCTGTCCTCTAAGAGTGGTAGTAAGTCTACCTAGGATAAACCGTGATAGGTTATCATTAATCTGCAAGTATATAGAAATATATAGATTGTACGAGATGATTGAGGTAATGCTAGTGGATGTTATTGTCCAACAAATTGCTCGCATCTAATACCAGTTGCGGTTTAAATAAAAAAAAATCTTTTTAAAAAAAAATAGATTTAAATTAAATAATATTAATTATAATAAAAAGGTTTTTGGTAATCTTATTTTAATTCAAAAAAAAAATTATGTTCAAATTTCGTGCTACTTTGGGTTGGCGTTTTGTGTCTTGTGCTTCACTTCTAATAATCAAAAAAACCACATATTCAAATAAGCTGCAAACCGGGAAATAATTTTGTTCGTATAGGTCCTCTTCTTTTGGTTTCAAATTGAACCAAATCCAGGACTTGTTGTTCTCGTTTTTGACAAATTAAGCAAGACATGGATTGAAAATAAATTAGTATCAGCAACGATTACTTAATAAATTTGGCTAATGATATGCTGTCAATTATAGCAATATGGAAACACAAAGTCATTGTAAATTTGCAACTATAGTCTCACAAGGAAGCATATACTGTAGTATGTGTGTACGTACCAGACCATTAGTCGTGTGACAGAAACATACAGCGGGTAAAATCCGCGAAATTTATTGTACACCTACCTCATTGGATTATATAACATAGTCATTTTATCGTTATAAGCCTTTTATTGGACAATAAATCAAAGAAACCGTTTATAAGCAAATGCGTATCAGTACTCGATTACTTTTTGATCAGTTCCGAGGGTTAATTTTACGCATTATATAAGTTTGGTCGCCCGATATTCGCGGCTTGTATAATTACATATTATGCCAGAACCTGTGTTCGATAAGAGACGTGTTCACTTTAAGAAGATAGAAACATTCTCTAAAATAAAAACTATCATCAATTGATATTATTAAAAGTAAATACATAAATGAACGAGATGATCTGCCCACAACTTCCAGCAGATTGCGTAACCGAAATCTTCGAACACATTTTTATTGAATCTAAAAATCTTCATCCTAAAATACTCTACTCCTGTCTATTGGTCAATAAGCTCTGGTCAACGTTAGCAGTTCCGTTATTATGGAGATACCCTTGGCAATGGCGTGGAAGGTTCTGGGCAAGCTCGATATTCTGGACAGCAATAATTAGGACCATCGTTTCTTGTCTCCCGAAGGAAGTTCAATTAAAATTGTTTTCATCTCTTCCCAACCTTCCTCCTCCAGTGTTTGATTATGTAAAATACTGTCAGCATTTATCAGACACGGTAATAGATTCAATTATTGATGGACTGCAGTATGGAATTAGCGAATTTGTAATAATCAAAGCAAGCAGGACTGTGTCCAAGATGGAGTTATGGAAGTTTTTTATAAACAAATGCCTAGCCATCAAGTTTTTGGAACTTCCAAATATTTCAATTAGCAAGCATCCGGGAGCCACGAGATGTTTTGAGCATCTGACAGAGCTTGAATGCTGGACTTTTAGGTCGCCAAACCTATTTAGAGAACTAGCATTTATCTGTCACGATATTCAATTTCTATGTATATCATGTGATGAGGATAATGTGGGATTGGCAGAGCTCATCGCTTCGCAACATAAATTAGTTGAGGTGACCTGTATATCCATGAACGGTGGTATATGTGAAAGAATTGGGCAGGCTTTAACAACGCAATCTACTTTAGACACTTTAAACATAGAAAACAGCCTTTGTTTCATGCCAGCTGTGTTCAATTCCTTTTTCAGACTTTCGGAATTGAATATTACTCTTGACGGTGACACTTATTATGATTTGAATCCTTTGAGATCAGTTTCTTTACCGAACTTGCAGTATCTATACATTATGTGTAATGACAATTATCCACCACTAGATATTTATGCAGGGTTGATCGAAAGAACTCGAGGAAAATTAAAAAAAGTTGAAATTAGATCTTCCCATTATCTTCAAAAAACAGAATACTTCTCATTGTTAATCCGAGCAATTTCAAGTTCTTGTCCAGACATCAAGGTCGTTTGCATTTTTTACACAGAAGCGGAAATCAAAGAATTAAGAGACCTAATTGGAGCTTGTAATAGTCTAGAAGAAATTACAATTAATGGAAGAAAAATTAGAAATGAGCATGGTGCTCCTCTTGTCAAACCTGTATTCGATATATTGTTAGCTGGATCACGAAACTTGCGGGAAGTAACGTTGCTTGGTGAATGGAAAAGTTCGCAAGAGGAGATAAATAATTTTTTCGAATCTTGGAGAAAACTTGAAACTATGTATTGAAAAATACGATCGATATTAATAGTCATTCATACAGAGAATTTCTAAATATGCCCCCCTTGTAAAACGTAACAATAATAAAATGGTTCTGTATTTATGTTGAGGGACTTTTCAGACACTCTTTTTTTAAACTTTTATCACAAATTTTAAAGTCAATTGTTCATTTAGACTATGTGTAATATATCGTTTGATATTTATAATGTTCCAAATTAAATATTACGCGGCAGTTAACTGAAGTAAAAATACTTCAATCATTAGTAAGCGTTCATAATTTTAACACGAAAATTATTAAGGTAATTCACAAAAGTTCTAAATCACTCACTATTATTTTATTATGAATTTCAATTTTAACAATTTTTAAATTCATAACTATGAAAACAATAAATTATATTATTTCTCTAGTTTTTTTTTTCAAAAATTTTTTATATGTACTTGAAATTTTATCTTTTTTTTTTAACCCGCAATTATGCCGTCATAATATCATATACTAAATAATAAACTATATAATTAAAAACTAGTAAAAAGGTCTGGTTTATATTCTAGGTTTAATTATTTGAGTTATATTTTTTTAATTTTTATATTTCATGTATTTTAGTTATAAAAAAGGCCTGGGCCATGCTCCGGTTTATTATTTGAGTTTTATTTTTTAAAAAAATTTTAATTTAAATAAATAATTTCTATTAAATATCAAAATTTTTTTAATATTTATATTTTTATTAACATTAAAATAATAAATAAGCCTAAAATATAAAGTTTGGAACAAAACTTTTTGTTCTATTTTATTTTATTTTATTTTTACTTATAACTTAATAACTATTTAATAAAATTTTTAATAAATAAATTATATATATTTATGTATTTAAGAAAACTATTTAAAAATTTTTTTAAAATTAATTATTAAAATTTTATTAAATTATAATATAAAAAAACTTTTTCTAAAAAATATTTATTTTAAATAGATTACAAAAATTTATAATAAAATATTATTATAATGATTTTAATTATTAAATTTATTTTTTATCAAAACTCTTTTCGCTGATCCTCTGACCACATACAAAAAAGATGTTCACAAGGAGATTTAATACTTCTTGGCTAATAAAGTCTTATCACTTTCCTTAAACCAACCCAAAGAGTTCTCCCAAAACTTCCTTCCCTCCCCTCCCTCTTGTCTACAATTTCCTTTGAACAAACTGAACTCTTGTGACTTGCAAAGTTCAGCTTTTACCTTTACTACCTATGGCAAGAAAGTTCCTAAAGGTAAAAGGACCAATAGTAAAATACTCTCCTCCTCTTAGTTATGGTGGAGATAATAGAGGTTAAAAACCAGTCAAAGGACTTACTTCTCTACCCTTTGAATGGTGTTATAGCCTCTCAGAGTTATCTTTTTCAATGCTTTCTGGAGAATTTTGTCTACTCCAGTTAGATCTTAAAATTTCAGGTAGCACAGATCTCATCAACTCTGGTTGGTCAACGTGAAACACGTTGGACAAAATTGATAAACAAGTTCCTATTGGTCACCTCACGTGTCTGAATGCATTTCCTCAGCTTTATAAGAACCTGGGGTTCATTATAAGTCGTTGTGGGTGCAGGTGGATACAGGACATAATACCGACATATCATTGGATACAAGAATAGAGTCCATCTGATTATGGTAAAGGTCACAAGATGCTAGATCGTTTCCTTTTAAAGATCAAAGCCGCCTACTCCTGATTGCATGTCAAGTAGGTTTCCAACCTCTACTGCTGTAACAAATCCGTGCCTGCTCCCATCAATTCTGTGTAAGTATACATAACTCTGTGTGACTATGAACCCGAAGTCCACCCTGTCTACTATTTTTGGACACTTTATGTAACATCATCCGAGATCATCTTTAGCGATCCCAGGCTGAGTGCCTTTCATCATAGTCAATTTGTCTTGTTTTCCCAAAATAGAAATTAGCCCCGTAAATAGTAGTAGCGCAAACCAATAGATTTCTTTTATTATTATTATTTTTTTTCTTGTTTTTCTTTTTAAGCTATATTATAGCCCCATAAGTCTGGATGTCCGTTATGTCAAGATTTATGTATTTTTAATTATTGTATTTATAGATTTA